TAAAAAAGAAAATTACTCAGCTGCAAAAAAAAACCTAAATAAATAACCGAAAAGTGGAAATGTGACAGGCGGACGCTTCGTCACTTTGTGCGACCAACAACTGATGATTTGTTCGTTGCAGCAACCGAAACTTGTGGAATGATTGTTGTGGTTGTAGATCTTGTAAGTTGATGTTGCTGTTGTTGTTGTTGTTGTTGCTGTTGCTGTTGGTGCTGGGTGCTGTAACTGCTAAACAATTTATTTATGTATGTGTGTGTGTCTATGTGTTTTGGGGCGCTTTGTAAAAGTGTCGAAAAATTGTTAATTTAATTACAACACTTGCATCGGTTGAGTGCGACGATTACCAACAAAAAAAAAAAAAAAAGCCACAGAGACGGACACAGACGCCAAGCACACATTTTAGACAATTGTTGCCTCTTGTTGCTGTTGTTGTTGAGTCTTTTGGAGATTGCCACACATATGAAGCATGTTGCAAGCAGCGCACACATGAATTTACGGTTTTCTTGTTTTGTTTTTGCTTTTACATTGTTAGAATTATAAAAGCCCAACTATGACAAAAAATAATACAAAAAAAAAAAAATATATATATATATAAAATAATATACAACTAATGACGTCTAATGTCTGTGTCTCTGCGCCTCTCACAGCTGTCTCGATTGCAGTCAGCGGCAATTGTCTATTAACTATATCCTATTTGGTAGTTTGGCCAACGCACAATGGCCCAGCCTCGGCTGCACCACCACGCCACGCCCCGTCCTCTGCACTGCTCTGCGTTGCTCGTTTCTAAGAGCGTGGCCTAAGCGCGCGTTGCGTCAGAGGCGGCCGAACCCAACGCCAACATGGAAACTGCATTCAAATTGAATTTGAATTGAAAATGAAAATGAAAATTACATATTATTGGCATAGTCCGTGTGCTGTGCAATGACTCTTCAAAATGCTATAAGTCATGTTCGCTGCCAGGCAGTGCAATTAATAAGCGCTCCAAAATGAATTATAAGACACGGTATTAATTATATATATGAGTGAGTGTTGGTGTGTATGTGTGTGTGTGTGTGTGTGTGTGTGTGTTTGTAGACAATCAAATATATGCATATGTGTGCATATTTGTGTTATGCAAACGCTGCACTAATTGAAAAGCGTTGTGCACTTCAAGTAAAAACCAAACGCTTTTCTAGGCCCTCATCGAACAAACAAGCTAAAAAATAGAAATTCCTTGAGAGGCCGCACGAAAGGCGGTTAAAAGTAATCATAGTAAACAATAAAGTGGGAAACCACTGGGCAAAAGCGTAAAACTAAAAAGAAAAAGAAAAATAGAAAAACAAATAGAAATTTTTGTAGAAGCGCGCTCGGTGAAAATGTGTTTTAGTTTTTTGCCAGTTGGAGCGTAGCCAGCTTAAAGCAAGCCAACATTACGTATACGACGCGGCGCCAGCCACCTCAGCTCCCCTTTTAAGACAATACATAGAAGAGGAAAACGGGCAGTAAGCAGAGCCTAAAATCGATCAAACTAACGTGCCTGGTGGCACTACGGGGCGGTCTCTAAAATGGGAATGATGGAGGCGTGGCACATTGCAAAGTCAAAACAACAAATCAATTGTCACAGTTAAATGTGTTAGTTAAGTGTTTTTTTTTCGCTTGGCATTCATGCAACAGAGGCAGAGGCAGGGGCAGGGGCAGAAGCCTCTGCCGCCAATCGATTTTCGAGGCCTTACCATATTGTGAAACTAGCCAAAAGTTGAATTTGTTTGAAATGCTAGATGAGAAACGCCAATCGGCGAATGGAGTGGAATTTTAATTTCAATAACATATTGATTGGTTTCTAAACTTAGGAGACATTTTAATTTAATATATCTGTAAAATATTTATTTATTTATATAATGTGTAAATAATTAATTTAAATCCCAGTCCATATCTACTTTAATAATACATAATTATTTTATATTAGTAATATTTAGACTTTTTATATATATATAAAAAATATATATAAAAAGACTAAATATTACTAATTACTTAATTATAAAATATATATTATATATATAATTAAGTAATTTAAATTTCTTATTACATTTACAAAATTTAAATGATTATTTATATTTTCTTGTAGGTGCTAGATTTTTTTTTTATAATTAACTAATTTAATTTCCACTCTATATATACTCTAATAATATAGTAAACTTTTTTTTCATGAGTATTCTTATCTATGTCACTTCTATTTGTTTATCTAATGTCAAGTGTATTCATTTTTCTAAAAAAAAAAAAAAAAATATAAAATAAAACTCTTAGAAAGTTTTTTTTTCTCTTTAGAATTTTATTTCCTATTTATTTATGTTTCTTGTTGTTTTCGTAATCATTTGTTTTAATTATGTACAGTTGCTGTATTCTTGTATATTGTGTTTTGTTTACTGTTTATGATGAGTTGTATTATTAATGGCTTTTGTGTCTGGTACAACGGGTAGTGATTCAGGTACTGGTACAGCTATTGACGGCTATTTCTATTAATACTCACTTAAACGGCTCGCATGTCTTGTCAACATAAAAACGGCTGCTGCTGCTGCTGCTGTCGCTGCTCGTTGTTCGCTGCTTGTGAGTTGGCGAATAGAATTTTCCATGCGTTGGCTGCTGTTTCGCTGTCTAATCTAACAGCTCAGCTGATTCATGTGGCAAGAGCCCAAGCCCAAGCACAAGTCGAAGCTGAAGCCCAAGCCTCTGGCTTGGTGGGCAACTTGCCTCAAGTGGTGGGCAGCTTAATTGAGCGGCTGCAGTGACGAGCGCCAAGTGCTGCGTACCGCAACACTTTTCGTCTGTCATGGCTCGCAATGATAATGCCGATGATGCTGCTTGACGATGATGTTGATGATTATGATGATCAACCCAATTGGGCTGAAGAGTTATAAAAACCAAACTTGAAGATTCAGCAGTGCGTGGCTGTCGCTATAGCAGACGACAGTTGGGCGCCCACGCCAAAGCTAATGATGATGATCATCATCACGATGATGACGATGCCAATGACGCCTCTTATGGAGTTGCCGACCGTCTTCTTGTTATTTATATATGAGGAGGCGCAGCTCGAACAACGCCTCGCATCGAGTGACAAGAAAACACTTGTAGCCATAGCTGATATCTATATATATGTATCTAAGTATAAAACTTGATATATAAAGTTATAGTTATATATATCTCGATAATTAGCCAAGCAACTGCTTGGTCGAATTGTAGGCCAAAGGCCAAACATGGCGGGCTAATTGAGCATGGATAATAAAAAATATGAAAGAAATAACTAAAAGAAAAGAAACTTCCAATTCATATAGAGTCAGTCCCTCTTGTCTCTTCACGCTTGGCTTGACAGTCATCTCGACATTGAGCGCTTATGAGTGACAGACGACGTTTCAATTGTTTGGTTTCAATTTCGTGGTTGACAATGGATTTTGCTATATAATTACACGATCTTCAGTGTAGCCGTAGCTGTTTGATGTTGCCTTTGCTGTTGCTGTTGCTGTTGCTGTAGCTTCCCATGGCTTTGCATTCGCCACGCTCCACAGGCAAAGCGGTCACATCTGACAGGGCTAAAAAGAAACAGCAATAACAATCAACAACAACGAAAACAACAAAAACAATCATTATAAAAAGATAGAAATAACATTAAAGTGCATTGTGCTTATGCAATGGCACATACAAAAATTATGGCTTAACTTCCTGGCCCGGCTAATTACCTGTTAAATAATGTCCCAAAATGCACTCGTCTGTGTGAATGTGGGCCAATTGTTATGCTTCATTTGTAATCTCGATTTGTGTGTTTTTTTTTTTTTTTTCATATTTTGATTTTTGCCCAACTTTTTGCAGCCTTCAGGCAACAGTCAATCAATTGGCATGCAAGCCAGCTATTCCTATACATATGATATTTAGCTATGTATGTTTAGCTCTTGCCGCTTGTTTGATCGATAGCCGAGCGAGCAATTTATGTGAATTGCATGTGAAAGTTATCTAGAAATATTCTCGCCCAGTGAAAGCGCGCCGCACTTGTGACATTTAAGCAGCGGCGCTCTGATTCTGATGACTCCGGCTGCAGCTGTTGCTGCACAAAGAGATTTACTTGGCCAAGAGACGTGCTGTTCTAGTTGCTGTTGTTCATGCGATTCGTTGAGTTGAGACAAACAAACAGCATGATTGTCACAAATTGCCAGCAGCATGCAGCAGTTGTTGATGTTGTTGTTGTAGTTGTAGTTGTTGTAGTTGCACTTTTGCTACAGTTTTCTCCGTAGGTCAGCGGCCCGCGCTGCACTGCGCTGCGCTGCAATTCATCAATCATAATTTATGTGTCAGTCACTAATCGCTTTACGCTGCTCCTGAACTCCAACGATTGCCACACGATGATGAATTGAATTTACTGTTTTTTATTTCATCGATTTTTTGTTTCTGTTGTGTAATTAGCTGACAAAGCTTAGGGCTTAGTGCTAGGGCCATAGGCCTAGCTTTTCTTACCGATTTGGAAGCTTATAGAGATAAATTAAGGAAAGCAATGGCTAGATCTGATTTAACTAAAATAGCTTTGTCACGAAATAATTGTGGTAGAAGTCGAATATTAACAGAACAGATTATAGCTGGTTGAGCTATTTAGGGCATATCAAATTTACAATCGTCAAACAATTTTAATATACAATATGTGTACAGCCCTGACATAAAGTTTGTCAAGCATTCTTGATCTTGTAGTCATTGATTTATATTTAATAATAGATATTATTTTCGTATTTAAAAGAAACCGGTTAATCGCGTTTCTCGTTTGTCTTTCTGCATTTGTGTAGCCCAAGCGCATATTAACTAATCCGAATTAGCAACTAATTAGCTCAAGAACTAAAGAATATGTATGTGGCATAGTGAGTGGACCTCTTATTAAATTAGTATTTAAATAACTGATTATTTCGGTTTCACATGTGACAGTTTTCATCTTGTAAACGTAGATCCACAGAAAATTCATGAAATTCCTTCTATTTATTTGCTTACAGAATGACGGTTTTGAGCTACCCGCAACGCATGGCACCTGCAAAACAGACGGCAGCTGCATTAGCCCACACAGAAGCAACAACAACAGCAATAGCACCAGCAATAGCAACAGCAGTGGTGGCCACACACGCATCACAGACTTGGCCAGCGGCGCCATGGAGTGCCTGCCATTGAGCGGCGGAGTTGTCACACATCATCCGCATCTGATGGCGACGAGTGGGACCGGCGGCACGGTGGTTGCCTCGCCAACGGCAACGGTTGTCGTGGGCGCCACATATCCACACCATTTGCACCACCATCACTTGAGCCACCATGCGCCGTATAGCAATAGCTATGGTAGTCATCCGCATCATCCCATACACAGCGAGCAGACCAAGTCGCTGCAGGAGCTGCAGCACGAGGTGGGCGCTCTGTTGGAGTTCAGAGATCTGGTCATTGAAACGTTTCCCGATCTCAAGCATAAAATGGCCTCAATGTCCGCCACGCCGTCGACACCGAACTCTGTGACTGCGCTTGGTGGCAGTCACTCGGTGGGCGGCAACAGTGGAAATGGTGGCAGCTCCTCGTTAGCAACCAGGTGAGTGACGAATGGGATTACAAATATAGATCGGATTACTTAAGCCACATATTGCATTTGTTGCAGACGTGAGTGGGAGCCTGGAATACGCATAAAGCGCAAGTTGTCGCACAAGGAACCGTCCACGACAACGGCCGCTGCAGCAGCATCCGCTGGAGTTGAGCCGTCGTCATCGTCGCTAACGCGCAGCCGCAGCAACTCGCACAGCGGCAAGAAAGAGCCAAAGAGCGGAGAGAACAACAACGGCAGCGTTGTGCAGGACTCCGGCTTCTCAACGGAGACCAGTTCCTCCAAGGAGGGACACAGTGCCTCCTCCACCAACGGTGCAATGACGGTAAGTAGAAGTTGGATTGGAATTGCGAGAATTCGTACTGATTCTAACTGTTGGTTTCTTCGCATAGGTGGCCATAGCATCGAATCGTCTGAGTTGCGCCGAGTCGGATGACGAGCTGCTCAACCTGCTTGATGTCATACACCGCAAATCGAATCGTTTACGCGAGGAGGTCGAGCATCTGCAGAGCTACGAGCGCCACCAGGGCGATGCAGCCAAGGGCCAAAAGAATGCGAATGGCATGACGCCGCAGCAATTCCGGGAGCAGGTGGAGCGACTGAATCGCGAAGATATCAAACAGTTGCGAAAGGAACGCGATCGTCTGCTGGATAAGCTGGCCGAAATGGAGGCGGAGACGTTGACGGGCCGCATCAAGGCGGCTAAGATGAACGATCAGGTGGAAGAGTTGATTAGCGTTAAGAAAGATCTCGAGGAGCAGCTGAAACTGGCCATGGCTCAAAAGCTGGAGCTGAGCTCGCGTGTGCAGCAGCTGCAGTTGCAGCAGCAACAACAACAACAGCAGCAGCAGAGCAAAAGCTCATCCAGGTAAGCTTCGCAGTCAGTTAATAATTAACAATTCTAATTCAAATCGAAATTTCAGCGCCAGCCAGTCAGAGTTCTCCAGTCAACGCAACTTCTTATCCTCGGCGACGACGGTGCTCTCGAACAGTAGCCGGCCCAGTCTCAGCAGCAACAACACATTCCAGCCGGTTGTGCTCGACCAGCAGCAACAGCAGCAGCCAGCGCCGGACGCATTCCATCAAAGCTCAGGTAGTGATACAGCAACAGCGAGAAGGCAACAACAGCCGCTGGGACGTTTGGATGGCGTTGTCAGCACGCCCGGCGCCCGAAACACCAAATGCCGCATTACAGACTCCAAGCGCTTCTCGGCCATTCTGTTGGAAACGAATGTGCTGGAGCTGCAGCGACATTTGCTCACGCTGACTGTGCAAAATCAGGTGCTGGCCCAGAAGCTGGAATCGTCCAGCAAGTCAAAGTCGCTGCTGTCGAAGCGGCTGGACAAGAGTGTCGAGGATACGGAGGAGCTGCGCTTTCAGCTGGAGGAAAAGAACATCGAGCTGGAGGGCACCAAGGCGCAGCTGCGCGTGCTGGAATCCCGGCTGCATAGCAGCAGCAGCGCCAATTCGTATTTGAACTCGTCTCAGCATGATTACGAGACAAATCGCTCTTCGGCTTCCACCACACTGATGCTCAGTCGTCGCGGCGTACCCGATTCGGTGGACTCAGCATCGGCATCGGTGTCGGTGGCCCAGCCCCGATCCGATCAAATAAGCACGCCCAGCATGAAGGCCATGGTGCCGCTGGCCATGGATGAGCTGCAGCAGCACAGCAGCAGCACTGAATCCGCGCACGAGCATGAACCGGAACGCACGCCCAATGACTCGACGCAGAGCAAGACAATGGTGAACAGCAGTCCCAGTCCGCTGGTCAGTAGCACGCCCACCGCGACCGCCGGCAGCAGCATTGCGGCGCGTGTCTTGAGCTCCAGCGTGGGCGGGGTCAGTCCCTTTGAGGCGACGCCGTTGCGCAGCCACGGCTTTCGCAAATTCAACAGCGCCAGCAAGCCGAGCAAAATACCGTTGCCGGGCAGCAAGGCGGCCGCCTACTTTGCGGGCAAGCCGCCCACGGGTCGGCCGTCCACGGCAGGTCGATCACCGCCCTCGGTGCATAACTCCAGTAATGTGTCGTATGGGAGCAGCAGCAAGTCTTCGCTGAGTCGCAGCACCGGCAACCTGAGCCAGAGCTTAAAGCGCGCCGACTCTGTCTCCAATCATTCACTGAGCACGAACACGAGCCGCAGCTCAACGTCATCCTCCATACCGTTGGCCACCACACCATACTCATCCAGCTCGGCCGGTGGCAACCGCAGCAGCGGCCACACGGCCACAACCACTCCGTCCCCGCGCGTGCTCCAGAACTCGCCGTTGCCCAAGCTTAAGCGCGAGACGCTGAGCTCACGTGTGCGGCACCTCGACTCACTTTCGCGCGCCCAACAATCGCCCGAGCAGCAGCAGCACCACCACAACAACAGCAGCAGCAGTGGCAGTGGCAGCGGCAGCGGCAGTGGCAACGCCTCGCACAAAAGCAGCCAGCTGAGCACCAGCGGCAGTTCCAGCTCCATTGCAGCACAGCTGAGTACAACGCTGCGCAAGGATCTGCAACTGAATGCCAGCTCGGCGCCAGCCTATCAGCGACGGAGCGGCGGTGGTGCTGGCAGCGGTGGTGCGGCTGTGTCGCGCCGCTTCAGCAGCGCCTCGGTGGCCAGTGCGCGGCTGGCGCGTGAGCAGAGTAGCGAAGCAAACGCCACGCCCACGTCCAGCTATGGCGACAGTGATAGTGGCAAGGTACGCACTTTAAAGTCAACATTTTTGGGTTGGTTCAAATGAATAATAATCTTAGTTACGATATTGATACTGATACTGATAATAATGATACATATACATCAATATATATATCTATATATATATATATGCCTATCGATAACTGATTACTGTCTTAATATGCCTTCGATTACCAACAACACACCAACAACAACAAACAGCTACAATAGAAACAACAACAACAACGAAGACACAACAAACACTTCAATACCAGTTACAGTTAGCAATAGATCAACTGGCCGCATACCTAATTTATATACATTCATAATATAATAGATATCATCTGCGTTGTACACTTTCACAATGGCGCGACAGCCTGAAGTAAACCCCAGTTTGTACAGAATATATAAGCATATTCGGCTTTATATATAGTGTCTTGATCTCTGAAAGAGCAAAAAACCTGCGCGAATTAGAAAACTGTTTTGCTTAAAGTATTCTAAAAATTCTAAATTAAAACTCCATGAGTATATTACTAGAAAATCTAGAAAAAATATCTAGAGCCCGAAAATATTTCACTTCAAGTGAAAATTGTAAATTGATTTAGAGTATTAAATAAATCATTAATTGGTTCAAGCAACAATTGAACATAATTCAAATGCTTAAAATTTAGGCGAGAAATATATAAAATTTAAATTTTAGTCACAATTTCATTTTGTTCTCTGTTATTTCATGTTCTCTATAAAGCTTTGAAGATTTGGCAATATCGTTTTGCTGTTTTAATTAGTTAAAATTTGTATTGTTTTTGATCAACTATATATATTCTGTTGAAAAGGAAGAAACTACGCCAAAAACGAGTTCGATTTGTTTTCGACTGGGGTTTATTTCACGGCGCACATAATAACATGCATATTTATTTATAAATAATACATACGACATGCCTATGCATACAACTAACCTACGATGCATACAAAACATACATTATTTATATATAATACTATATACTATAAAGAACCATATGTATATCTAACTAACGATCGTTAGGTCAATTGATTGTGTACTCTCGTCGTGCCTATGCGTATGTGAAACGAAAATGGAAAAAGGAACCAAGCAAAACCTTCTTGTCCACACCGTGCCTGACCTTATCCAATCCTTTCCTGCCTAGCCCCCCCCATTCACATACGTCTGCCGTGCTGAGGCAGCGTGTTATCAGTTTTATAAAATTAAATTGAGTATTTTTTGTTTGTTGGTCATTGACCAGAGTGAAGGGTGCCACCTCCACTGCCTTGCCTTGGAGCAGCTATGCTAATTAGTCGCCTCATCTGCCGCTATAAATAATCAATTGCACGCGCCACAAACAGCAACAAAGAAAATGTATTCGCTTCTCTTTACATTTTATAAATATATATATATATACATTACTATTACTATTATTATTACGATAATTATTATTTTGTACATACTCGTAAAAAGGAATGCCCATATAAGTTTATCATTTACCATATGAATCGTATGCGCGAAAAATCATGTAAATTGTTTATCATTATATCTACTACATACATACATACATACATACATACATATATCGTTATTATTAGTTGTATCCATCAGGCAGCTAGTTACTCAGATAGGTATGCGTGTGTGTGTGTGAGTGTGAGTATGTATGTATGGGCTAAGCATTAACTGTAATTATCATTATATTTTGCGTGTATATGTTTAAAACTGATTACTGTTATCTATATACTATAAGTTGATGTACGTACCACTTACTTACCCTTCTGGCCTAATTTAAATGCTAATTCATCATTATTTATGATCATGGTCTAATACATATATACCACATATTATGCATATAAACACAACATACACATACATATCTCTATCTTTAGAAATATAAACAAAAAGAACTGCATAAATTTGAACTTTAATTTTTACCAAATACTTGCCCCCAAGCTCTCAAATGCATCTTGCCTATCATGTGTATCATCATCATAAGCATCATCATAATCATTATCATCATCATCATTGTTTGCCATGTGTTTCATTGTCAGCTTGGTCAGCGCTTAAAACTAACCAGACACAAACACATACACACACGCATACCGACACACACACACATACAGATATCATGGTCAAACTTGGCTAGAAAATAAAAGTCAAGCTGTTTACACTAAATAATTGTATCTAATGCTGTAATTTCTTTTTTACTTTTACTTTTTCTTTCTGCGCGTTTTCTCGCCCTATGTATGTCTACTCCACATGTAAAAAAAAAAAAATATATATATATATATATTAAAAAATCAAAAACCGTAAACCCAACAAACAAATGTGTATACCCGTCTGTTGTTATAAACTCACACGATTTCCTATTTTGTATATTCAAAAACTGCCCGTACCACAAATATCCTCAACATATATACTATATATATATACATACTTATATATGTCATACCCACCCAACAACAAACCAAACCAAACCAATCCAACCAACCAGCCTATTGAAAACTGTAACTAAAAACAATTGTGAAAGAAACTCTTCCTAACTGCAATATGCCTAACCGGATAAACGTTGGATAAACATGTACAATTATATATGCATATGCATATGTATATATATATATATACACATCTATATACATATGGACAATGGTGGTGTATTGATTGATTGATTGATTGACGTTGGTGGTGAAAATTTAAGCTGCATGCTGCAAATGAAAATGCTAACATAAAAGCAACATTCCAAAAACACGTGCGTCACTCGGGAGGTTATTTTGGTAACGGACAGCGAACAGGCGATGCGAATGTCAGGATTCATGTGCTCAGCTCCAAGTTGCTCCAAATAGCAAGCTCCAAGCTACAAGCTACAAGCTACAAGCTCCAGTCTCAAATACGCGCGAAGCGAGCTGATTGAGCTAGTTGTGTTGTAAATCGTTTGTCTGCTTTTCTGATAGACAAAGAACTAAGACACTTTGCCGCAATTTGTTATACGCGTAAGTCTCTCATTTGTTGTAATATCATTTTGTAGGTTAAGCTACCACCCCCGACAAAAAAAAAAAGATATATAACATCAATATACATATATACATATATATGTGCATATGTATGTGTGTGTATTTGCCCCTGCACAGCACTGCTTTATTTGCTTTTACAACACTGATATTGAGCCAACAGCAAGCATTATTACTCCTGTGATCGTAGTATTCCCCGTAGTTTAGCCATTTTCTATACATAAATACACAGACAGACACAAACACAGAGCCACATACACACACAAGTATACACCCACACCCACACACTTGCTCTCTCTATCTCTCTCGCTCTATCTAATTTCCAAAGCAGGCAACCAAGGCAATTTTCCAACTGGTCATAAGTAAGCACCTCTTCGAAACGCTTTAAAGCATTCCTATGGAGAACGTTTTCGATTTCCCAGCTAATTTATTGTATATATATATTTGACGTCCTGTGCTAATTGAAATATTATCTACTATATACCTACATATATCCTGCCTATGGTTGAGGTTCCTAACCTTCTTGCTATTTGATTTTGTGTTTCTCTAACATTTTATGCAAATATTACTATTATATGCTACCTTTTGACTTGTTTTTGTTTTGTGTTGTTTTGTTTTCTGTCATTTGCCTGTGCAATCAATGAGATCTACAAATTTTGATATTCTCTTTTCTTTTGCTCTTCTATTCAAAACTGATGCATAGAGTTTGGTAAATAACGAGAGTAAGCCAAATTTCCGTTTCAATAACAACAATTGGCAGTTGTGGCAAACAAGCAACAACAACAATAAGAACAATGAGAACAACAACAACAACAACCATATTATATTTATGGAACCCTTGACATACATCAAAGAAATGCCAAGTGATGAAGATGTATCCGAGGAGACGGCCTACGATTCGTATTACACGCAATACACAACGCCCGACTCCATGGACGGCGCCAGCGACAATCTGCTGGTGACCTTCGACTATGGCTATAGCGATTCCATTGGGGCACCCACACCACCGTTGCCTCCAGTCGCAGCGGCAGCTGTGGACGACTGTGGTGCGGATGGTGACTGCGCTATTTGGTTTGGCTCGCCGGCAAACGATGGCAATGCATTCAAGGTGCATCACGTGCGACATAGCCCATGCCTGCTCGAAGCGAGTCTGCAGTCCTTAATATCCTACGATGTGGACGAGTTCGAGGAGCCAGAGTCTGAGCAAGAGCGAGCACACGATCCGAATGCAGACAGAGAAGAATATTTTTATGATAGCATCGAAGGTTGAATGCACTTAAATTTTCATGCCACGGCAGCTTTTTTTTACTATTCAGATATTTGATATGCTATATATATATACACATATATATCCATTTATATATATAGGCACATAGATTTTTCAATTTTCAATTTCATAATTAGCTAGTCTACGCGATTGTTAGGCACGTCGTTGAGGCGTGTCGAAAGTACACGTTTGTATGTAATCTAGGTGATGTATGTATGTATGTAACGATGTATATCGAAAGACATGATTTAAGCAATATAGAAGTACTGTAAGTGTTGTGTATGTTATTGGCATGAATCGTACTAGGTCAGAGCCCGTTTGTAACTTGTTATTATTTGCTTCTCTCCTAATTATAACTATGTAACTACACTAAGTATACTCTACTTTATGACTATATTTGAGCATAACTTATGTCTAGTTGATTGTGTGCATCTATTGTAAAAGTCGTCATAAGTCTAATAGTTATTATTATCCATTATGCTTACTTATTTGTACTCTCAAACTAATTTAATGTAACTCGTATTAGCCAGCAGCTAAACTATATTTTAGTTGTAAATTATGAAATTTAGTTAACCACACGCATTGCATTGCATGAGATGGAGATGTATGTACAGAACTTTTTATATGAACTATGGATTGAAATGAAAGACAGCTATGTCTACACTTAGAACTTATCGTATACTGTTATCAAAATGCGTTTACTACATTTATAAAAACAAATATGATAAAAAAAGCAAGAGTTGACTAAGATAGAAAAAACAAAATGCAAATGATTTAAGAATCAAAAATAAAACACATACTATTATTAATATATTCAAGTGGCGAGAAATGTGAGCATATATCCATTTAAATAGCAATTGTAATTGAAGACAACATACTTATTAAAATCAAAACAAAACAACAACAAAATGAGAAAATAAAATACAAAAAAAAAAAATTATAATATTTTTCTGTGTTTTCTCTTCTTCAAATTATTTTATTTACATTTTATTTGCAACCCATAAATCAGAGCAATCAATAAAGGGGCACAAATTTAAATCAATTGACCATTTAGAATTTGAAAAATGCATGCAACATTTGGTGCAATGCCGAAGTTCAAATACCCTTCAAATATACTGTTATGCGGGTATGTAAATAAAACAATATAAAAAACCAGTTAAAGCTCAATTTTAAGGCATTATTTAGAGTTGTTTTAACGCTCAACTCATAACAGCCGATTACTTCGATTATTTAGAGATATAGACGAGCACCTGTACCTGAACATATTTTTGTCAGAATTGTTATGGTAAACGAGTTTGATTAGAAACCTGTTTTGAAACAAGTCCAGAATGTGTGTGATATTCTATATAGAAACAAGTAACAAAACATCTGTGACGATTGGCAAAACATAAGCCAGAAATCAACAGCTTGATTTAGAGCTCCAATATATGTATGTATGTATACCGAGCGGCTCTTGGGTGTGGCATGATTTGTACACAATTAATGGAACCCTTGGAAAGGGTATCATATAATTGCTAGCCTCGTTCGCACTTCATTCAATATGTTTAAACAAATTTTACATATGGTCTGCTGATGTAGGGTACATAGCCATACATAATTCAATTATCAGACTGAAAGAGAGCGCGCCGTGCATATAAGGAAAGTGTGGTAGAGAGGGAGACGGAGAGGCGTGGAGGTAAGGCCTCTCTCAGTCTATTACAGTACACAACCAGTCAACGCACAGTCCGCGCACTTCATAAACTTCTTTTGGTGCGGCCGCAACAACCAGTTGGCCAAACACGCTGCACGGCGGCAGGAGGCATTTGATACGCGTTTGGCTTGTAGTTCACTGGACTGGCAAAAGCATTTTTAAATAGCTACGCCTAAGATATGCAGTTATTAGAATTACGCACAAAGTCCCACAACACATAGGCAGCTCGCGAGAGATCATGGACTTCGATGAAATTTTGGCCAAGTGCGGCAATAGCCATCGCTACCAATATCTGCTGCTCGCGTTCTATGGCTTTCTCATGCTGGTTGTGTCAATGCACTACTTCTCCCAGAACGTGATCAGCTTTGTGCCCGATCACTGGTGCTATCACGAGCAGCTGAGGAATCGCAGCATCGCAGAGATCGAGGCCATCTATAAACAGTTCGATAAGCCCTCATGCACACGCCTGGTGACACTCGGAGATGATTCGAATGGCACCAATGCCATTGCCAGTGTGGAGCGATGTGATCGTTGGATCTATAACTACGAGTTCGGATTCAGAAGCATGAATACCGAGGTGAGTCGAACGAAATACTCTATATATGTAGCTGTATTAATAGATCGAAAGTATACAAATTCCGATATATTAAATTGTTTTTGTTATCGCAAATATGCAATAAGCATCTCAGTTGCATTTTATAATTACAAATTTCATTTTAGCTGAAATGTGTTCAGAGCTATTTCATATATGTATGTATGTATGTATTTTTTCTCCCATATGCACGTGGCAATGTTTAGCTTAATTGGGTATGCGATGCCGCGTACAAGGCGCGTGTCGGCCAATCCTTGTTCTTTGTGGGCTCCATGTGTGGCACTCTAATGTTTGGGCTGCTCGGCGATCGCATTGGCCGCGTCAAGGCCGTCATATTGGCCAATTGGTGCGGCTTCTTGGGCGACTTCTCGACCATATTTACTGGCAGCTTGACTGCCTTCTCTGTAACGCGTTTCGTGTCTGGCCTGGCTGCCGATGCCAACTCGTATCTGATGTACATATTGCGTAAGTATTGCAATTGCCCATTAGACATCACCGACTGTCAGCTGGCAGCACAGCTGACTGAGCTTATTTCCAACAGTCATCGAGTATGTCTCGCCGTCTTTGCGCAACGTGGGCCTGAACATGGTGATGGGGATCTTTTACTCGCTGGGCTTGATCGGAGCCGCTTGGCTGGCTGTGCTGGTGGGCAACTGGCGGCTGTTTCTGGCCTGCTCCTCGCTGCCGCTGCTCCTCGTCACACTCTTCTATTTCCTGGTGCAGGAAAGTGCCCAGTGGCTGGTAACACGTAACGATATCGATGGGGCCGTAAATCGGCTGCGTCGCGTGGCCAAGATCAATCGGCGTGTGGTCAGCGATGAGGACTTCAAGGCGTTCCGCAGCTATTGCCATTGCCACTACCGCATTACGGCTACGACTGCAGCGGAGAAGCCAGACTCCAAGCTGCTCGACATGCTGAAGACGCCGCGCATGCGCAGCAGCGCATTTAAAGTACTGCTCATTTTGTAAGCGAAAGCGATAGACACTTGCATATGCATGTGTGTGCGTGGCACAAGCGAAGCATAACTGGTTTTCGTACTCTTTTCAACAGCATCATCGTGGTGCCCTGCTATAACACCATCGCACGCAATGTGGAGGGCCTGGGCATATCGCCGTTCATACTCTTCTCGCTGAACGCGCTGATGCTGCCGCCCGCTGGCTATGTGCAGGGCTATCTGCAGGATGTGGCCGGGCGCAAAGCCACCGCAGTCAGCTGGATGATCCTCACTGGCATATTGGCCACCGCTGCGGGCCTGGTCATATCACTGGGCCAGAACCGCAATGTGTACCTCTTGGTCGGGCTGACGTTGCTCACACGCTTTGGCGTCTCGATTGCGGACGGAGTCAGCTCTCAGCTCTGCACCGAGCTCATACCCACCTGCGTGCGTGGGCGTGGTGTGGCTGTGGCACACGTCGTCGGCTTTGCGGCCTCCTTTCTATCGCCGTACATTCTGCATTTGGGCACGTACTCCAAGCCCGCACCCACGATTATAATCGGCCTGCTCTTCCTCTCCGGGGCGTATGTGTGTCTCCTACTGCCCGAGACACGCAACAAGAAGCTGCCCATGTCTCTAGCCGAGGGTGAGGAGTTCGGCAAGGGTGAAGGAATGTTTGATTTTCTGCATCAGCTGCGTAAGCAAGGCTCAGCCGAGAAGAAATTGGAAGCCGAATTAAAAACCAAAGAGGTCCAAGAAAGCAAATAGCTGTTCATTTGCTTATGATTTTATTCCTTAAATTATATTGTGAGTGCAAAAACTATATAAATATATTTATATAAATTTTTAGGATTATTATTATTATTATCTTTTTTTTTTTTTCAAAATAAACTAAAGAGCTTTAAGACATAAACTGTAACGTTTTGAATACATTTGGTTGCTCATACATATGCATGTTGACTGTCTCTAGGTCAAGTGGTTTGTCGAGAAATGAGATCTCTGCTGGCGAGTTTATCAAGTATATACATACATATGTATGTATGTATATCTTTAATTATATACATACATACGTACATATGCGTATATGTACGTGTTTAAAAATATATATTATTGTTATTATATTTTTAGATTTTTATCAAACACAGTGTACTAAAATTTACTGCACAATAGATTTTATTTACTTTTGGTATTAGCATGGACATGAAGAAACATGAAAGTACATAAAGACTCTCTTTATTTAAAGCAATTGTATTTGAAAAGTTCTAAATTTCTATCAAGAACTTGATTCTTAACGGAAGATATTTACATATCGTTATATACATATGTACATATACATATGTATGTATGTATAGTTTTTATCGGTTTGTCTGCAAACTGTTTAGATAAACGATTATTTTATTTCGATTACTTAAAATTAGCAATCAAGATTCAAAATAATATCGATCGATTGTTATCGTTATCGTTATCAATTTCATTTGTGCAAACTACACGCGTTTCAGAAACCCTTAAATATTAACAATTTCCCAAATCAAAATCAATTGATCTTGTGTTTCATCGAATTCGTAAAGATTACAGCTAGACTGTAAGATAATAATGCTAAACAAAAGATTTCGTATCTCGTTCCAATCGAGCTGACGACACTCAACTGTCTAATTGTAATGAGAATCGTGTTTAAATTACGAGGACGCCTATCACAAACGACTGAATACAACAACAAACAGAATTAGTTCGATTAATAATAGTAAATTGGTAGAATCGCGCCTTTCATTTCGCTGATATAGCATTGAGCGCTTATCAGTCAAGGAAAGGCCGGAGAGGAATTCCAGCAGTAGCAGAGCGCATTCGGGCACTCGAGTGACTCGAGCAAATCAGCTGGTTTCGACTACGCTCTTAACTATTTCTCAAAGAGGCCGCGGCCGAGCACGCCAGCTGACAGTACGTGCGTGGCATCGAACGAGAGCTGAACGCTGACTGCTCCTCTATTGCCGCCTCCGCACGGCACGAAGCGTTCGTACGGCACGCATACGGAGTGGAGTCTCCATCGGGTTCGGAGTCAAGAGCGGAGAATCTGGCACAAAGCATTGCCATGGATTTCGATGAGATACTGGCCAAGTGCGGCAACAGGCATCGCTATCAATACCTGCTGCTTGGCCTCTACAGTCTGTTGATGTTCGTAACATCGATGCACAACTTCTCACAGAACGTGATTGGCTTTGTGCCCGATCACTGGTGCTATCACAAGCAGTTGGAAAACCGCAGCTTCGCACAAATCGAGGCCATCTATAATCAGTTCGATTATCCCTCATGCACGCGCCTGGAGACGATCGGCCCAGATTATGATGGGCGGAACGCAACTGTCAGTGGGGAGCAATGCGATCGTTGGATCTATAACTATGATTTCGGATTTAGAAGCATGAACACTGAGGTGAGTTCTGCTATTCGCAACGATGGCTATATATCTTCTATAATCTTATCTAACTCATTGTACAGCTTAATTGGGTCTGCGATGATGCCTATAAAGCACCCGTGGGACAATCTTTCTTTTTTATAGGCTCCATGTTTGGCACGCTCATCTTTGGCATTCTGGGCGACAAAATTGGGCGAATCAAGTCTGTTATTTTGGCCAATATGTGCGGCTTTTTGGGCGACTTCTCAACGATCTTTACGAGCAGCCTGTTTGCCTTCTCCACAGCACGATTTGTGTCGGGTCTCGCGGTGGATGCCAACACCTATCTCATGTATATTCTTGGTGTGTAGTGATGCTACAATCTCTGGCTATATGTTAATTATTGGGCTTAAAGCAACTTATCTCTTGCAGCGCTCGAGTATCTTCCTCCCTCGCTACGCAATTCCAGCCTGAGCATAAGCATGGGCATCTTTTACTGCCTGGGCATGATTAGCTCCTGCGGATTGGCCGTCCTGGCGGGCCATTGGCGGATATTCCTAGCCTGCTCCTCGCTGCCGCTGCTGCTGATCGTACTGTTCTATTTTCTGGTGCAGGAGAGCGCCCAGTGGCTGGTCACTCGAAATGATATCGATGGGGCCGTACGGTGCTTGCGGCGCGTGGCCAAAATGAATCGTCGTAAGGTCAGCGAGGAGGATTTTCAGGAGTTCCGAAAATATTGCCAGATCAATTGCATCAAGAAAGCGCAGGAGTCTAATGAGCATGAGCAGGACAAATTCATTGACCTGTTCAAGACGCCGCACTTGCGCAAAACCATCATCATCATGCTGACCACATTGTAAGTGAAATACCACAGATATCACAGAGCATTGCTGATCGAATGATGTACTACGGTTTCAGCACTATCGTAACGGTCTGCTATAACACCTTGGCACGCAATGTGGAGGGTCTGGGTATATCCCCGTTGATAATGTTCTCGCTGAGCGCACTGACCCTGCCGCCCTCTGGTTTCATCCAAGCCGATATCCAGAAGCGCATCGGCCGCAAGGGCTCTTCCGTGCTGTCATTGCTGCTCACGGGCCTGTTTACGGCAGCCAGTGGAATAGCGTTGTCCGTTTGGCAGAATCCCAGTACGGTGCTCTTGATATCACTGATGATTGCTTCCCGGTTCGGTCTATCCATTTGCTATGGCTCGACTTTGCTGTTCTCCACGGAGCTGGTGCCCACCTGTGTGCGTTCCCGTGGCCTCAGCGTGGCGCACATGGTCGGCGCGGCTGCCTCCCTGCTCTCGCCCTACATTCTGCACCTGGGCACCTTCTACAGAGCCGGCCCCTCGATTATACTCTGCCTGCTGTTCCTAACCGGTGCCTTCTTCTGCCTGTTGCTGCCAGAGACGGAGAATCGCAGGTTGCCCATTACACTGGCCGAGGGCGAACAGTTTGGCAGAGGAGAACGCATGTTTGACTTTTTAAGGCAACCAAAGGCCGAGCAAACTGAAGCTGCGACTCCTCTCAAGCAAACTTCTTGATGTACTACAATGGTTCCTGTATGGAACTTTGAGTTTGATCAATTAATTAATTAAGCTGCGCCATCTCATCGACATATGTGAAGAATGCGACAAAGGGGCAGAGCTAATGAGTGACGTACTTAAGAGTATCAGACTACAATATACCCTGTACGCGAGTGAATACCATCGCATCGCTTCTCAACTGATTGGAGCAAATTGAGTTGCGAAAGTATTCGATTAGAAAAACTGTTAAATAATATTAAGTTTATTTTAATCACTGTCATAATCAATTTGCATAATATATGCAATATTCAATATTGTGGTTGGAAAACATGATTTCTGTTATGATGACGAAGGAATTTATTAAGAACTTATTATCTAAATCCACAAGCAGATACTGAATGCATACATTACCATATTTTAATTTTATTTGTATAATTTAACTGCCATTTATATTGGATATTTTGGAAACTTATTTTAGAAATATAATAGAAATCGTTTTACAAAAGAGAATGTACAAACTTTTGCTTATCAAACATGGATATTTTTAGAAAATATACAGACAATGAGTAAATATTTAAAACACGTTTGTTTTCAATATGCATATGTCTCTCTATATCTTTGGCTCTCTTTGTACAGCGGGTATAAGCAATATTATAAGAGTGGTTACTCATCAAGTTTGTTGGCAAACAAGCAGCCACTAAATGTTATAAGAGAATGGGAAAGAGAATGGCAGAGAGTGAGAGTGGAGGCATTTGTAGGCAATACGAATGTTGGACGAACCTATAGAATAAGTATATCTTTTATGTACACAAAACTGCATATCATTCATATGCTATTCAGATTAAATACAACTATAAATCTAGCGTCTAACAGTAAATAGTATATATGTATACACACTCACGCACCCACTTACGACGCTTTTGGTGAGCTCTCTTGATAAGCTCTGAGATACAATGTTAAGGCTGACGGAACGTTAACATTTGAATGTAATTAATTGACCATTGAATAACATTGCGTTTCTTATACACACATACATATATGTAGATATATATAATTCAAGTCTAAAATGTATGTTTTCTCATATCTATATTTGTAGATACACACAAATTAGCGCGGCGCTTCAGATAGACGCCGGTCTCTCTCTCTAGATTAAGGCGAATAAGTGGATTCACTTAAATAATAAAGCATTTATTTCGTAATGGATAGAACGCGACACACACACACACACACACACATAGAGAGACACACAGCACGCCAATGCGATGCGATAAGCAACCGAACAACAATCTTATCGGAGCCAAAGTGAAACAGAAACTGCGTCCGAGCACTCTGTGCAAATCTGATGGCTGAGGGCCACAACTATATGCCGCTGGGCCGCATTCGGATTTCAGTCTTGACAGAATCTCTGGCCGAGCACAGCGAGAGCGCGTGCCGCAATGGACTTTGATAAAATTCTGGAAAAATGCGGCGATGCGGGGCGGTATCAGTATCTGATTCTGCTGCTGCTGGGCTACATAGCATTTACCAGCACGGTGCACTACTACTCCCAGAACATCATTGGGTTTGTGCCTCAGCACTGGTGCTACCACGAGGAGCTGGAGAATCGCACTCACGAGGAGATCGCCGCCATTTATGCGCCCTTCGGCAGCAAGGCTGCCTGCACGCGCCTCGACAAGATCGAGGTCCACGAGGGAGTCTACAATGTGACCGTGAGCAGTCAGAGCTGTGAGCGCTGGATATACAAATATGACTATGGATTCCGCAGCATGAACGTCGAGGTGAGTAGCACGAAACGTAAGTGCAAGTGAATCCTTTGATTGTCTCCAACGGATCATTGCGCAGCTCAACTGGGTCTGCGAGAATGCGTACAAGGCGCGCATTGGGCAGTCGCTCTTCTTCTTGGGCTCCCTAATGGGCACCTTCGCCTTTGGCATGCTGGGCGATCGGATTGGCCGTGTGCGCGCCGTCATCTTGGCGAATCAGTGCGGCTTCGTGGGTGACTTCCTGACCACGTACGCCTCCAATCTGACACAGTTCAGCGCGTTCCGCTGCATCTCCGGCCTGGCTGCAACAGCCAACTATTATCTGATGTTTATTCTAGGTAAGCATTGCGTATCTGCTCATCTCTTTATCAGCTCTGCTCATCCGTCTGACTCTCTTTGTCTCTCTCTCTCTCTCTCTCTGGCATGGCAGTGCTCGAGTTTCTGGCGCCGAAGCTGAGGAATTTGGCTATCAGCGGAGTGCTCGGACTGTGCTTCTGCCTGGGCGCGCTGGTAGCGCCGTGGTTATCTGTCTTGGCCGGCAATTGGCGCATCTATCTGACGTTCTCCGCGCTGCTGCAGCTCATCGTCGCGCTCTTCTATTTTGTGGTTCAGGAGAGTGCACAGTGGCTGATCACGCGCAACAATGTCGAGGGCGCCATTGCCAGATTGAAGCTCATTGCCCACTTCAATGGCCGCCAGGTGCCCCCCGCCGACTTTGAGGCGTTTCGGCGGCATTGCACCGCCAAGCGCAAGCACGAGAGCCAGCAGAACAAAGCCACACTCTTCGACCTGATGCGCACTCCACGTTTGCGGAAGACTGCACTTATTGTCATCTTCACCTTGTGAGTTGCTCTCAGTCGTCGGTAAAGTGCGTATTTTAGTCAACACGTTAACATTTATCCGCAGCATGCTGATATCCCTGAGCTTCAACACCATCTCTAGAAATGTGGAGGGTCTGGGTATGTCGCCATTTGTGGTTTTCTCGCTATTTGCTGTGGTGGTGCCACCCTCTGGATTGCTGCAGGGCCTCATGCAAAGTCGCCTGGGCCGCAAGGCCACCTGTTTTGTGGCCTTGGCTGGCACGAGTCTGCTGGCCTGCGCCCTGGGCGTGTGCCTCTCCTTCGAAAGCGTCCAGTTAAATGCCTCCCTGCTGCTGGCCTTTGCGATGCCCACAAGACTGGGCATCTCGATATGCTACACGACCTTCTCACAGTACTCGTCGGAGCTGTTGCCCACCTGTGTGCGCTCCCGTGGCATAGCCACAGCACACTTGGCCGCTGCGGCGGCCTCGGTTACCTCACCTTACCTGATACACCTGGGCACCAAGTGGGCCGCTGGCCCATCGTTCATTCTGACGGCGTTGCTGCTGACTGCGGCGCTGTTCTCGCTGCTGCTGCCGGAAACGAACAATAGGTGAGTGGGCCAAATATAAGTCAAGTATTAAACCTATAACACTGTCGTCCCCTAGGCAACTGCCCATTACACTGGAGGACGGCGAGGCCTTTGGCAAGGGCGAGTCTATGCTGTCCTTCGATTGCTGGCGAGCTCGGGACGATGATGTGCTGAAGCAACCCGCCGAGGAGCTCAAGTTAAACGCACTTAATGGCGCGCGTCGAAATACCTCACCGGAAACGGAAGCGGAAGGTGTAGTGGAAGCGGATGCGGATCCGGAAGCGGAAGCGTAAACTAGCCTTCTCGCTCGCCTGTGTATACTATATGCATACCCACATGTATTTAAAACGCCAAAGTATTAGAGATCAAACACACATTTTAGTTCCGAAAGTTGTCAGTAGATGAGAAATTTATTTGATTGATTTTGGGTCACAGTATTCAACATAATATTAATTTATATATATATATTCACATATATAAATAGATAGAGAGAGAGTTGTTTGTATATGTAAATTTTGTAATCCTGTCGTGATTGCTTACATAGGTTTAAGTAAAGTGTACATAGGGCATGTACTCGCAAAAGAGTATGTAAGCATTTGCATTTAACTTCATATATGCCATAAATGTAATGGCTTCAATTTTAAAGATTTTTTTTGTGTATATTTTTTTGTATTTTCTTTATATTTGTTTCTTTTTGTGTTTTGCATTTTATTTAAGAGCTAGAGAAAGTCTTAAACAGTACAAAATAGATATCGCTTAGCCCTGTTTGAAACACTCATTGGAAAAACTTATAAAGTCTGGGCCTTAGGAGCTTTAACTTAAGTCTAGGTGTAATATCCAGGACAGAGATTGTGGGAAATATATATTCGTGTAAATGTATTCATGCTCCTCTTGAACAATTTTGGATGCCAATATAGTGAAGTCATTAAGTGGATTTTCTAATAACCATGCGATTCATTACTAAGCCGAAACATGTCCCAAGTATTATTTTCTCTCAACCGAATTCAATTTGTATGATCTAAAAACTTGTCTGCGCTCAAACTACATCTCTTAATAGTTATAACAGATACTCATTCAAAACGAATGTTTGATCTCAATGAACCCAAACAAATGTTTTTCATATTTCTAACTCTGGTATCCTGAATACCCCTACCCGAGCCACTATGAAAGTACCACTTAAAGTATTTTCGATCACATCAGTTTCAGGAATGGAGCAAAACTGTGCTAATTTCCATATCCCAATTCTGCATGATAAATTATGTAACACTAATTTGTGTTGGATGCATTCCACAAAACTATTTTTCTGCTTTCTTTTGTATATTAACACAACATATTTTATATATTATATTGTATATATGTATAATCTGATTGATTTCTTTCAAGTTTTCTCAGATCTTAATTGCTAAATTTGAGCACTCTTTGCAATTGCTGTCAAATAGTACATAAATATATCATGATATACGTTATTTTAAGGTGAGTTTCTTTTCGGCAATCAAGCGGAGACCTAATCACGTCAGATCTATCGAAAGAATTTCTCAAATCGGTAATATAATGCCATGTCACATAACAGTTTGCATTCGCTTATTACTACTTTATCTCTTGCTACTCTTTTATTGTATATATATATATCCTATGTATAGGTGTATATAACTGACTATGTAATCTCATAATATGTGTATATATATTGTAGGATTGCAGTATAAATATACCATTTAATAAACTCTAGTTCACAATAGTTCAGTTTGAATCCAAAAAATGCGTAAACAGTAAAAAGGTAAAAAGATTTCTCATGATTTTTTGGATACTCCGGAGTAAATACGAGGAGTTAATAGCACCATGCGAGTGAGTAGTGAGTTTAGTTTGAAATAGTCGAATAGTCTAGTAGTCGAATAGCTATAAATTGTTAAAACACAATTCACAATTTATGAGCCTAACTTAAGTTGAGATGTCGAAGTTAGAGTAGGACTGATCTTCTATCCTGCCTTGGGAGCTAGGGCTAAAGTAAAAAAATATATAGATATATTTTAAGCACTACATTGAACATTCGAGATGAGAAACAAACTACTTTTGTGTAAACAATAGTATTAACTATTTCCATATAATTAGGCTGTCAACAATTTAATATTATTTGTTTTCTTGTTTTTTAACCATTTTTAAATGTTGTTTTTTTTTTTTATATATATTTTTTTTTTCGCTGGCATTGCTAGCCCGCAACGATTATTTTCAGGAGTTTTGTAAGTTCTAATAATCTATAATATGCCACTAAATACCATTTATTTTCTTTAAATTTTGTTTTGTTTTGCAATTTTTGCTGCTTATTGTTTGATTTTATATCATGTGATGCTGTTGTTGATGTTGAGAAAATTGTAATGCCCACATTTTTGTATATATATAAATATCTCAATATTATATAATAGCA